GGAAAGCATAAAGTACTTCCTATCTGTCCCTTTTCTTCTCTTTTTTTGTTTTTTGGCCACGCCCTGCAGCATGTGGGATCTTAGTTCCCCTACCAGGGATAGAACCTGTGCCCCCTGCATTGGAAGTGCAGAATCTTAACCACTGGACCACTGGGAAAGTCCCCTGTCCCTTTTCAGACAGTGTGTGCTAGCTGTTGTTCTGGATCCAATTACCAGTTGATAGAAATACAAGAAACAGAATAAACATTTAAACATACCATGAAAATAAAATCAGAAATATCAATATGCTCAAATAAACAAGCTAACTTTACACATCAAGAAACTAGAAAAGGAAGGACAAACAAAGCCCGAAGGTAGTAGAAGGAACGAAATAATAAAGATCAGAATGGAACTCAAAGAAATAGAGAATAAAAATAAAATAGAAAACACCAATAAAACTGAGAGGTTTGAAAAGATAAACAAAATAAGACAAACCTTTAGCTAACTCACCAAGAAAAAGAAAGAGGGCTCAAAATTAAATATGCAAAAGATACTACAACTGATACCACAGAAATACAAAGGATCATAAGAGATTGCTATGAACAACTGTACACCAAAAAACTGGACAACCTAAGAAATGGATAAATTCCTAGAAACATACAACCTACTAAGAGTGAATCATGAAGAGACAGAAAATCTGAACAGACTGATTACATGTAAGGAGATTAACCAGTAGTAAAAAACCTCCCAGCAAACCAAAGTCCAGGATCATAAGTCTTCACTGGTAAATTCCACCAAACATTTAAAGAGGAATGAATATCAATCCTTCTCAAAATCTTCCAAAAAAACAGGAAGGAGGGAGTACTTCCAAACTCATTTTATAAGACCAGTGGTATCCTTATACTATAACCAGACAAGAACACTACAAAAGAAAATTACAGGCCACTATCCCTGAAGAGCACAGATTCAAAAATCCTCAACAAAATATTAGCAAACCCAAATCAATAATACATTAAGAGGATCATACACCACGATGAAGTGGGATATATCCAGAGATGCAGGATGGTTCCATATCTGCAAATCAATCAATATGATACACATTAACAGAATGAAGGACAAAAATTGGGGACTTCCCTGGTGGTGCAGTGGTTAAGAATCTGCCTTCCAATGCAGGGGACATGGGTTTGATCCCTGGTTAGGGAACTAGATCCCACATGCGTGCTGCAACTAAGAGTTTGCATGCCACAACTAAGGAGCCTGCCAGCCGCAACTAAGGAGCACACATGCCACAACTAAGGAACCAATGAACCACAACTAAGAAGCACACGTGCAGCAACTAAGGAGCACATGTGCCGCAACTAAGGAGCCTGCCTGCTGCAACAAAGACCTGGTACAACCAAAAAAAAAAAAATTAAAAAGTTAAAAATAAAGTTAAAAAAGGGATAAAAATCATATCATAGTCTCAACAGAGGCAGAAAAAAGCATTTGACAAAATTTAATATCCATTCATGATTAAAAACTCAACAAAGCAGGTACAGAGAGAATGCTGCTCCATAATAAGGACATATATCACAAGTCCACAGCTAACATCATATTCAACAGTGAAAATGTGAAAGCTTCTCTAAAGTCAGGAAAAAGACAGGGATACCCATTCTTACCACTTTTATTCAACATAGCATTGGAAGTCCAGCCAGAGCAATTAGGCAAGAAAAAGAAAGAAAAGGCATCTAAATTAGAAAGGAAGAAGTAAAAGTGTCACTCTTTGCAGACAACATGATATTATATATAGAAAACCCAAAAGGCTCCACCAAAACACTGCTAGAACTAATAAATGAATTCAGTAAAGTTGTAGTATGCAAAAACAATATACAGAAATCAACTGCATGGCAGGGGGATAAATTAGGAGTTTGGGATTAACATATACACAGTATTACATATAAAATAGATAATCAACAAGGACCTACTGTAGAGCACAGGGAACTCTACTCAATATGTAATAACCTATATGAGAAAAGAATCTAAAAGAAGAGGGAATATATGTATATGTATAACTGATTCACTTTGCTGTACACCTAAAACTAACACAACATTGTAAGTCAACTAGACTCCAACATAAAATAAAAACTAAATTAAATTGAAAAAACAAGAAATTATGTTAATAAAGGAAGAACTTATAAAAAATATCAATTGGGTTTCTATACACTAATAACAAACTACTAGAAAGAGAAATTAAGAAAACAATCCCATTTACAATTGCATCAGAAAGAGTAAAATACCTAGGAATAAATTTAACCAAGGACGTGAAAAACCTGTACACTGAAAGTTATGAGATGTAGATGAAAGAAATGGAGAAGACAAAAATAAAAGGAAAGATATTCCGTGGCTCATGGATTGGAAGAATTATTATTAAAATGTCCCCTGTACCAAAGCAATATAAAATTCAATGAAATTCTTACCAAAATTCCAATGGCGTTTTCCACAGAAATAGAACACACAATCCTAAAATGTGTATGGAACTACAAAAGGCTCTGAATGGCCAAAGTGATCTTGAGAAAAAAGAACAAAGCATCCTGCTGCCCAATTTAAACTGTATTATAATGCTATAGTAATCAAAACAGTATGGTACTGGAACAGAAACAGAGATCAATGGAACAGAATACAGAGTCCAGAAATTCAAAACCACACAAATACAATTAATTTATGACGAAAAAGCCAAGAATATATGATGGAAAAGGGACGGTCTCTTCAACATGTAATGTTGGGAAAACTGGACAGCCGCATGCAAAGGAATGAAACTGGACTACTCTCTTACACCATACACAAAAATTAACTCAAAATGGATTAAAAACTTGAATGTAAGACCTAAAACCATAAAACTCCTAGAACAGAACATAAGCAGTAAGCCCCTTGGCATTGGTCTTGGAGATGATTTTTTGTATTTGACAACAAAAGCAAAAACAAAAGCACCAAAAGCAAAAATAAACAAGTGGAACTATGTGAAAGTAAAAAACTTCCTGTGTGGCAAAGGAAACCATCAACAAAATGAAAAGACAATCTACAGAATGGGAGAATATTTTTGCAAATCATGTATTTGCTAAGGGGTTAATATCCAAAATATATGAACTCATACAATTCAACAGGAAAAGACAAATAATGCAATTTTAAAATGGGCAGAGGATCTGAATAGATGTTTTTTCAAAGAAGAGATATAGATGGCCAAAAGGTATGTGAAAAGGTGCTCAACGTTACTATTAAGGGAAATGCAAATCAATGCAATGAAATAGCACATCTCTCAGAACGGTTATTATCAAAAAGACAACAAATAACAAGTGTTCGTGAGGATGTGGAGAAAAGGGAACCCTTGTGCACTGCTGGTGGGAATGTAAATTGGGGCTGCCACTAGGGAAAACAGTATGGAGGTTCCTCAAAAAATTAAAAATAGAACTATGATATGATACAGCAATTTCACTTCTGGGTACTTATGTGAAGAAAACAAAGACACTAACTCAAAAGATATATGTACCTCCATGTTCACTGCAATGTTATTTACAATAGCCAAGACATGGGAGCAACCTAAGTGTCAATCTACGAATAAAGAAAACATAGTGTTTGCATGCACACACACACATATACATACCCAACACACACACACAATGGGATAAAAAAAGAAGGAAATCTTGCTGTTTGCAACAACATGGATGGACCTTGAGGTCGCTATGCTAAATGAAGTCAGACAGAGAAAGACAAATACCATATGGTCATATGACCTCACTTATATGTAGAACCTTAAAAAAACAAACTAGAATGCATGGATAGACAGATCTATGGTTGCCAGAGGAGGGGAGAGTGGGATGGGATAAATGGGTAAAGGTGGTCAAAAGGTACTAACTTCTAGTTATAAAATAAATAAGCCCTGAGTACATGCAATATACAATATGGTGACTATGGGTAATGATACTGTATTGTATATTTGAAAGTTGCTCAGAGAGTACATCTTCAAAGTTCTCATCACACACACACACAAATCTGTAACTATGGATGGCGATGGATGTTAACTAGACTTAATTCGGAATAGATATACAAACATTGAATCATTATGTTGTACACTTGCAACTAATATATGTCAATTATATCTCAACTTTAAAAAACTTCAAAATGTGTGACTTTTAAAAACGTATTACTTTTCAAAAAATCAATATAATGGAGAAATAACGGCCAACGCTCTAGGTTAAAGGAGACTAAGACACACAAAAATTGCCGTATATAAACCCTGATTGCATCTCAGATCCAAAGACACTCAGAAGTGTATTTCAGAACAATGTGGAGGATTTTAGTTTTCACAGAGTAGATAGAAGGTGACATTATTACTTTAAATTTTCTTGGGGTAAATAATAGTTCTGTGGTTTAATTAGCACAATGTCCTTATCTTTAGGAGGTGCATTACCAAGTATTTAAAGGTCAAGTATTAATACATGGCTGCAATTTATTTTCAGCTTACTCCCTCGAATAACTCACCAAAAAATGTATTTATCTAGAGAAAGAGAGCAAACATGCAAAATGCCCAAAATGGGTGACTCTACTTCAACGGACATTAATTGTACCGAAGCTTCACATTTTATTTACGTTTACGACTTTTCAAACGAAAAATGTGGGGAAACAATACTTAGACCAAACACCCTGTTAATCAGAAGTTCAATTATCCTAGATATAGGGCAAAAAAGCCTCCATCCGTTTTTCTTGGAATCCCATGTTTTGAAGTTTTGTAGGGAGGTACAGGTTTAGGAAGTTCAGATGAAGAGATAAGGGAGCATCCTTGCTTCTCTTTTGTAGAAAGAGTTGTGGCCTATATAAACTTATATTTCTATACAAAAAAACGCACTCCAAAGACATCCATGAAAGTACATTTCTACCCGAATGTAATGCGCCAAAAATAAAGAACGCACAAAGATAACGCCAAATTCTCAGACGAAACTTCTTTTTTTGCATAGTAGGAAACGGAGGCCCTTTCCCCCACTGCTCACCGGCATGTGCCGGAATCGCCGGGTGCGTGAGGACTCGAGGACACAGGGCTGGAGTCAACGAACCCTAAAGGCGGAAATTCTTTACCTCTCGAAGAAAAATCACGAAGGCTGCTTTGGAGGCTTTTGAAGAGGGGAGCACAGGATGAAACCTAAACGACCCCGCGGAAGCGCCCTTAGGATATTTCGCTGGGGCCGCCTCTGGACCTGGCCGTTCCGGGAGGCCCCGAGGCCGCGGCGGAAGTGAGCGGCGTAGGCCTCTCTAAGCTGACCCCAGGGCGGCCCGGGACAAACTCGTTCTAATTCCACCTTCCATCTGCTTCCCTCTCCTACGCGCCGGCCTACCGGACGCCGGATTGGGCCGAACCACGACCAACCGGAAACTGCTCAAGAAACACCCGGCCAGCAGCGGAAGAGACTGCGGCGAACGAAGCTCGCCACTTCCGCTTCCGGCTCTGGAGGGGGTCGGAAGAGGCGGGGTTTCCGCGGTGGCGCCGTCGGCCATGTTCGATCCGTTCAGGTGGAGAAATTCTAGTTTTCTCTGGCGTGGGTACAGATGGGTTCCGGGTGGGCTAGGTGCGGGGGCTGGGGACCGAATGAGCCCCAAAGGCAAGGTTGAGGCTGGAACCAGTCCTTAGATGGGGCTGCTGGTGGGGGTCGCGGTCTGTTTCTGAGGCGGGGTTGGAGGTGGGATACGTTTTGTGCGTATTTAGATCGCTGAATACTGGCGCCTGAAGGGCGTGGCTGCGGGCAGGGACCCACCCCAAGCAAGCACATCAAAAGGTCTTCTACGTGCCTCTCGCCTCGTTCCTAGAGCCCTAACAGTGATTTTCCCATATCGATAATCCTGCCGATCCATGAAGTAGTCTGTCTCCTCCGGTCAATTCCACAAGGCAGGATACAGTGCTAAACTCAAATGCTGTCCCCTGCATCTGGGGTTTTTTCATTGTTGCTAAATCAGTAAGCAATCGAAGACAGCATCACGTTTGCTAGACCTCAAAACTACTTGGCACGTAAGATTTAAAGTTTCCCCTTTCTTTCAGTAGGGGGTGGGGGGATTGCTTGTAGCTTCGTAAAGTCCCAGCCTTTATACTTAATTTTTTTCTTTTGGTCTCGTGTTTCCCTGGTTTTCTTTATTTCTTTATTTAGTTTTTCTTTAGATATTTACCTGCTAAGCTCCTGGTGGTCCCGAGTGACCCCTGCTGTGAGCAGTGGCCTCCCTTTCTAGACTGTCCCTATCAACCTCAGGGGGACTAGAGTCTATATCCAAGGTGGGGGAATCCTTATTTTGTAACAATTTGGTTTTCAGGAGGATGCTCTTACATGTTGATAGGCAGCGGTACTCATGAGAGCCCAAGCACACTGACCAGGAGATTTACAAACTGATTTGAGTTGAGAAACCCTCTGAGGTTTCTTGGGAGCAAGAACAAAATGTTCCTTCCCCTTTTCCTTTTTCATTAAACATTGAGCCACCAGTCTCTATGGATGAGATCCCTCATATCCCACTAGGTTGGGGAATAAATCACTACAGAAGCAAAGCAAGGAGCAACAGAGAGATAGGTGAGGGCTGCTGGTGTCTTTGGTGGGGACAGCCACTGGGGAACTACTGATCTCTTTGTCTGCCACAAGGGATGTCATGGAGGAGATCTCTCTTGGTGTTGCAAGGAACATCATAACTAACATGGTGATGAAGAAAGGTAAGTAGTTTCTGGTTGTCCTTAAAAATCGGTAGGCATTAAATGTTATCCACTAGGTCAATAGCTCACATTTATATCAAGTGAATTAATGAACACTCATTATTAGGGGGAAAAGGATAAACACTATATAAGAATGAAAGGACAATTTACCAGAAACATATAAAATGACTACATTTTTATGCATCCAGTTATACTGCCTCAAAATACAATATAGAATTTAAAAAGCAATCTGACTACCCACAGTCATACTGGGGCATTTTAACATACCTCTCTCAGTAAAGGGGAGATCATGAGATAAGGTTTGTAATGATACAGATTTTAAAAACACAAAAAGGTTTATCCATCAGATATACTGAAAATCTGTTATACCCAACAAATTATAGAATACACATTGTTTTCAACTATACTTGAAGGATTCTTAAAACTTGACCATATGAGATGTATCAGTTGAGACTGAAATCCACTGAAACAGACTCTTCCCACAAGAGTGTTAAACCAGTTAGTTTATTTTTTTCATGTTACAAGAAGTCCAGAAATAAGCAACCCATAGTTGCTTATACATAGCTAAATAATATGTCCTTATTATATAATCAGTAGTGTATGACTGTCATCCTATTGGTCTATTCTCTAGGAAAAAAGAAGAGATAAGACAAAGGGCAAATGGTAAAGTGAAAACGCCAGATGCGATGCTCCCATTTCCATGGAATTCTTTAGAACCGACAAGCAGTGACCTCTGCCTCCTTTCTCATTGGCCAGGACTGTGGGCTCATGGGCACTCACAGCTGCAAGGAAAGCTGGGAGATGAATCCTTAAGAACTGTCCACACTGCTAATTTGAACACAGTTGTATTGTTACTTGAAAGAAGGAGGGGAGGAATGGATATTGGGACAGCAACTTCTTTTGTCTCACACATTAGGCCATGTAGCAAGTCTCTAATAATTTTCTGTTTGAATCTATGTCTTATAGAATCTGTGTCACGAAGACTATGCATTCTGTACATAATGCAATTAATTTAGAAATCTATAACTAAAAGATAACTAAAATATGCACAGTCTGCACATTAAAATATATATTTCTAAATAACCTATAGTTTGGTCCAAGACATCTTGATGAGAAATGGACAATATTTAGTACTTAATTTCAATAAAAACATTATGTATCAAAACTTTTGTGATGTAGATCAAGGGGAATTTAGAGTGCTGTATAATCTTTAATACTCATCAATTAATGAGTTGTCACACTTTAAAGATTAAACACTCACTGATAAATACAATCACAGAACCATAACATTTATAAGGTTGGTCCCAGTATAACGTGACTTAAAAGTTGTGCCTGAAGGCTTTCTAAATTGGTCACAATAGGGTTTCTCTCCAGAGTGAGTTCTAAAATGAGTGAGATGTGAAGGACCTAAGGCTAGCCTGTAGTCATTTCATTCATATAGTTTCTGCCCTGTATGTATTCGTTTGTGCATTATAAGGTTAGTGCTGGTGCTGAATGCTTTTCCACACTGAATACATTTATAGGGCTTCTCTCCTGTGTGAGTTCTCATATGTACCCTTAGGCAAGAGGAATTTCTAAAGGCCTTCCCACATTCTTTACACTCATAGGTTTTCTCTCCAGTGTGAGTTCTCTTGTGCACAATAAGATAAGAGCCTGTACTGAAGGATTTTCCACATTGATTACACTCATAAGGTTTCTCTCCAGTGTGAGATCGTGTATGTTTCTTAAGGGATGACTGATCAATAAAGGATTTCCCACAGTCACTGCATTCATAGGGTTTCTCTCCAGTGTGGGTTCTCATATGTTTCTGAAGGGATGAAGGAACAGTGAAAGCCTTGTCACATTCCTTACAGTCATAGGGTTTCTCTCCAGTGTGAGTTCTTTTGTGCACATTAAGATGAGAGCTCTGGCTGAAGGATTTTCCGCAATGATTACACTTGTAAGGTTTCTCTCCAGTGTGTGATCTCACATGTTTCTTAAGGGAAGACTGAAAAACAAAGGCTTTCCCACAATTGCTACATTCATAACGTTTCTCTCCAGTGTGAGGTCTCACACATATCTGAAGGGACAAGGGGCCAGTGAAAACTTTCTCATGTTCATTACATTTTGAGCTTTCCTCCACAGTACACATTTTTTTGTGGAAACTAAGGGAAGATCTTTTTCCATAGTCACTGCATTCACAGAGTTTCTCTCCAGTAGGTATTTGTTCATGTACTGAAAAGGAAGAGTGTAAGTTGAAGGACATAAGATGTTGATTACACTCAGAAGATTTCTCTCCTGGGAGAGTTAAGTGTTTCCTAAGGGATGACTCTTGATTGAAAAATTTTCCACAACCATTAAATTCAATAATTTTCTCTCCAGTGTGAGTACTCACATGACTCCTAAGAGTTGAGGGATGGCCAGAGTCTTGCCCATATTCTTTATATTTGTTGCATTTCTCTCTCTTGCAATATCTTGGACAAATAAGGTGACAGTTCTTTCTAAAGAATTTTCCACAATGATTAAATTCCATTGGTTTCTCACCAGGGTGAGTTGCTGCCTACAGAATAAGGAATAAGTGGTGACTAAAGGCTTTCTCACTTTCATCACAGAGGAACTCACTCCCATGTGGATTCTGCCGTATGTATGAAGCATATTATTATGACTAATATTTTTACCATTTTCAGGGTGTGTGTATACATTTTGCGCTATTCTTTCAAGTTGAAATAGCTGAATACTCTTCCCAAGACCCCATGGTATTCATTCCCATCAAAGGGCATCCTAAATATAGTTTTTCTAGTCATGTGTGAAGAATGAATGATTTATTAAATACTTAATAATTGAATCACATTTAAGTAAATGTTTACTTTTTGATATTCTCTGCAAGGCAGCAAGTGTTGAGGTAGGTTTGGAGATTTCTCCAATTTTATGGGATTCATAAAGGCTTTCCTGAAGCAGCTTTCTGATGAGTGAATTCCACTTGCCTCAAGTGTCTCCCCTTGTTTGGGTGCTGCTGCTGTTTTAATTCCTTGAAATTCACAGAGTTCTCCCATTCTAAAAAACCAGGAACCATTTCTAGTGAATCTCACCGTTTTTATGCCATTGGAAGTTTTTTCCCCAGGAACATTCTGTGTAAGAATTGCATCTTTTGATTTAAGTTGAGTATCCTGGTCTGAAAGTGAATGGGGAAATTTTTTATAATTATTGGGAGAAAAAGTAGGGATGAAAGAAAAAAGGAGGCAGGCGCCCTATGGATTTGTTTTCAAATAATAACACTAAATATAGGAGGAAAATGTGAAAGAGAAGATGCAACCAGTGACCAGAGAAATTAATTTAGGAACTTGGCTCTGGAAAAAGATGCCAATGATAGGGACAAGCAATGGAAATGAGAGGTATTTTACTAAGGATTCTGGAGGCTTGAGACAATAAGAGAAGGTATTATCTGGAAAGCAAGTGGGGAGAACTGAACAAAAAGTATTCAAGGAAATGTGAAATTGGAAGAGTAATTAAAATAGTTTTTCCTTTGAGACCAAATGGAAGTATGAATGAATGGAGAGATGGTGAAAGAAGGAAAGCTCATGTAATGGCCTCTGCCTTCTTTCCCACAATGACTGACATTCCCAACTGTATCACCCCTTGCAGGCTGTGGCTATTCCATACAATGACCCCTTTCTGCCTGGGGCTCACCTCTATAAGCACCTTGGAGAATTCGTCTCTGCTCTGGCCTCAGCTCTTCCTGCTCCACCTCAGTGAACAGACTGTGTTTGCAGAGATGATGCCCTGCTCATGGGGAAAGACACATGATGTGGGGAGACTGTGAAGGAAACAAGAAATCTTTCCACAAAATTGATTCCAATACTTTGGTTTTAAAGGATTCTGAAGATAGGCAAGTGCAGCTTTAGGAGAAGCAAAACAATCAGATTATATAACTATTTCACAGGGCCCCAAAACAGACATGCATACTCCTTGTCCCACATGACCTGACTCTTGAATTCCAAGCCCAAGATCTGCAAACTACCTAAATTTTTTAAGGATCGAGAAAATACAATCAGTGCATTTTCATGGGAAGCCAAAAGACTGCCCCACAAGGGCAGGAACCATCCATTCTGTCTTTACCATGTACTACCATTCTCTTCACAGTTGCTGGAACAGATATGTGATGAAGAACTATTATGTGTATGAACAAATGAATACGAAGGAATGAGGTCAACTTTACCCACTGAGGCTAGGTTCCTAAAGTTCTCCAGCATCACGTCTCTGTACAGGATTTTCTGAGCAGGGTCCAGCAGTGCCCACTCCTCCTGTGAAAAGTCCACTGCCACTTCCTCGAAGGTCACCGAGTCCTAAAACATCACATGTACACAGGTTCAGCCAAGGACCATCTCTAACTCTGAACCAGAAAGATGGCGAGTGAGGCTGACAGGACTTGGGAAGGAGACCCAATGTGTAGGAAGCTCAGACGTGCTTCAGAGTTCTCATTATTTGACCCAAGGCTCAATTCTTGGAACTTTCCACTTTTGTCCTCACTCCCTGGACCATAACATCCAGCAGCTTAGCAGCTTTTCTAACACAGTGGAACTTATATTTCCACAACTAGGTTGTGAGGAATCTGCCAGTCTTATTGAAGATCAAGACTGAGCATACTGCAGAATGAGAAAAATACTTAGTGAAAAAAGTCTTTATTTTCCTTCATGGCACCGAGCAGAATATGGAACTAATACTCACCCTGGAGGATTATCTGAAAAAAAATTAACAAATGTTGAGGCCTTTCCTAAGACATCCTCTATCTCCTATTCTGAGAAGCCCAGAGAACTGGGGAAGCCTAAGGCCAGCCTGCCTGGGCTGTGAAGCTGTGGGTCATGGGCAAGAGATGTATCCTTTAGCAACAGCAATGATTTTTGGAAACAGTAACTTCCCACATACCTGTGACCAGGTTGCCAGCAATCCTGCAGCCATTCTTCCTCTTGTGTCTCCCTCCTGGCCAGGCTCCTGGACTGGAGCATGCAGACCTAGAGAAGAAGAAAGAAGCCATGAGAGTCTTGGCCTGACAGATATTCAACACTTACAGGCCTGGAAGCTTCCTCACACTAGCTTTAACAACGCACACACAAATGCACATATATGCACATATACATACAAACAATACATTACAGATTTTATCTCCCTATCCAAGAACAGTTAGGAATGGGAATACTGTATGTACTTATTATTATTTTTTTTGCGGTACACAGGCCTCTCACTGTCGTGGCCTCACCTGTTGCGGAGCACAGGCTCCGGATGTGCAGGCTCAGTGGCCGTGGCTCATGGGCCCAGCCGCTCCGTGGCATGTGGGGTCTTCCCGGACCGGGGCACGAACCTGTGTCTCCTGCGTCGGCAGGCAGACTCTCAACCACTGAGCCACCAGGGAAGCCCTGTATGTACTTATTTTTTTAACTTTTCCCTAGACTGAACCACCAAAAATGCCTAGAGTCACTCACAACTCAGGAGCAATGAGCGCTCTAGTGTTAAAATTCCTCAAAATGCCATCTGTCTGTATAAGAAACCAGGACTCCTTTGGCAAATAGCTGAGTCCAACGTGGAACAAGAAATGTGCAAGATGAGCCTGGAACAGCTTATACCAGAAAGCAAGGAGCCTACCACACAGGAGAAAACTTAAAAATGTTCCCACTGGCTTAAGATGGAACAATTTAATAAGAATAATGACTACAATCAGTTGAAATATACCAAATGTAAAACAAAGCCATGAGTCTATAGTGTTACTAAAAAAACCCTCAATGGTCACTATCAGAAGTGGCTAGGATATAATTTTGTTATTCTGAAAATTCGTGAAAAGAATCAAGCGTGTAGGGCTTCCCTGGTGGTTCAGTGGTTAAGAATCCACCTGCCAATGCAGGGGACGCAGGTTCGAGTCCTGGTCCGGGAAGATCCCACATGCCACGAAGCAACTAAGCCCGTGTGCCACAACTACTGAGCCTGCACTCTAGAGCCCATGAGCCACAACTACTGAGCCCACGTGCCACAACTGCTGAAGCCTGCGTGCCTAAAGCCCATGCTCCACAAGAGAAGCCACCACAATGAGAAGCCCATGCACCACAAAGTAGAGTAGCCCCTGCTTGCCACAACTAGAGAAAGCCTGCACACAGCAATGAAGACCCAACACAGCCAAAAATAAATAAAATAAATTTATTTAAAGAAATGTAATTAAAGAATCAAGTGTATCACCCCGTTCCCTCCTTTATGAACAATATTTTATGATTACCAAATAGTTGTGATAAGGGAAAGCTCTTTATAGAATAATTATAGAAACTTTATTAGGAGCTTCATTTATTATGAAGAAAATGCTAGAATCAGAAAGTCACCATTCTGCAACCACTAGTAAATTAATGGACCTAGGCAATGACAAGAAATGGCTATTAAAATATTAGATGAAAAGTGAATGGGGATGTTTATTTTCAACTTTTAATTTTAAATTATTTTGAAAAAATTTCAAACTCAAAAGTTGTGAGAATAGTGTAAATATGATGAACTTCCCTATACTCTATCAGTTGTTAAAGTTCTATCACATTTGCTTTCTTTCTCTCTCTGTAGGGGTGTGTGTGTGTGTGTGTGGGTGTTTCATCAAGAATGATATTGAGAGGAATCTACTTGAGAGGAAATTGCGGATGTCATGACCCTTTTCTCCTACATTCTTCAGAGTATCATAGGAACTTAGAACATTCTCTAACACAAACACAATGATTGAAAGCAGGATTTAATATTACTATCTATCATACAATCCATATGCAGAATTTTACCAACTGGCCCAATAATGTCCTTTATAGCAGTCACTTTTTAAACTTCCCATCCAGGATCACGCCCTCAAAGTATGTTTCTTTAATCTTCTTTAATCTGGACCAGTCCCTCAGCCTTTCCTCATCTTCCCAGGTTTGAAAAGTCCAGGCCAGATGTTTTACAGACAGCCTCAGTTTTGGTTTGTCTGTTGTTTTCTCATGATTAGATTCACAAAGTTCATTTTTGGATGATGTATTATGTGATTGATGCTTGTCCTTCTCTGCATCACTTCAGGAGGCTTATGATGCCAGTCTTGTCTCATTATCGATATTAACTTTGATCACTTGGTTAAGGTGGTATGCAGCATGTTTCCCCATTAAGTTACACTTTTTTTCTTTTGTAATTAACAAGAAATCTGAAGGAGGTAATTTAAGACTAAGTACATGTGCTGGGAAACTTTATAAAGTAAGATCAAGCTGACACTGGGACCAACTGATAAATCTTAACATCTCAAAAGAGACATCTGGACATCATTAGTTCTGATATGATGTAACAAAAAACAACACCAATTATAAAATATTTTTGCCAAAAAAAAATCCTAACAAATCCTTTAATTAGCAGTTTATAGAAGAAGGGTAAGAGGAGACAGAGGACATGTTAAATGATATTATATACAGGACATAACCAGACAAATCCGGTTTGGAGGAGAAAGAGGAAGGGAGAACTCTTCCTGATTAAGAGACTTAAGAGGTGTAACAATCCATTGTAAAGTGTGGCCCTTAGATCTTGATTTGAACGACTATAAAAACATATTTGAGACACGTGGGGTTAACAGAACACAGACAGGGTATTAGACGATATTGGTAAAGAGAAAAGCATCCTGGGTTTCGGAACCAAAAAAAAAAAAAAAGAGAGAGAGAGAGAGAGAGAGAAGTCCCTGATATGCAGGAGCTGACCTGGTACTCTCAGCTAGGCCTTGCTGTTGTGATGAGCTGGCCTGAAACTCACAGCAACGTCTGGGTGTTCTCCTGTTTAACACCCAAAACAGCAACAAGACAAGGTCACTCTGTGACCATGATATATTGAGACAAAAGCAAGAACACTCTGTAACTGTGTTTGAACATGGACAAAATATAAACATTATTTACACCTCAGAAATGACCAAACATCCCCCTTTTCTGGCTAATATGAGTGACTGCTGCTTGTTTATCAATTATAATTTTAGCCTCTGTATAGTTTTCCCCCTTTGTAGGTAACGTTTACTAAGATTCCCAACACAGAATACCCTTGCACCCTACAACATCCAATCCAGAACTCACCCCAAAAGCACCTAATACGAGCTCCAATTCTTTTTTTTATAGGTTAGAAAAATGTGTTTTTTTTTTTTTATATTAAGGCTTTGTAGTTGCATTTACTAAGTTCCTGGTTTCAGCTGGCATCTTAAAAATATATCCCTTTAAGTTATGATTTTAGGTTCTCAATTGACAAAGGTCAACTAGACAATGACAAAGTCTAAAAAATGCCCAACATTGACAAAGAAATTAGTTTGAAAACTAGAAAATCTGCCTTCAAAAATAGCTATTTCTACCAAAGTGGACAAAAGGTATTGTTGTTGGATTAAACTACAGTTTTATTTTAAATATCACCATCCCTCTGGAAATACCACTATAGCTTGAAAAACCACATTCACTTACAACTCACACTCTTGATCCTTGAAATGACATCTTATAATTCCGATACGCAGTATGCTTCTGAGTCAGTAGTTTTATCCTGGATGCCCTTTAAAGCAACCTTTTGAATGTTAAAATGATGTATGACTTTTTATTAAACTTACTAGCCAATTTGCTAGTATGTATATCAAGAGCAATGTTCCCCCTTTTTCTTTTTTTTCAATATTTATTTATTTATTTGGCTGCACCAGGTCTTAGTTGTGGCACGTGGGATCTTCAATCTTCGTTGCAGCATGTGAGATCTAGTTCCTTGACTAGGGATCAAACCCAGGCCCCCTGCATTGGGAGTCTTAGCCACTGGACCACCAGGGAAGTCCCTCCCCTTTCTTTTTTAAAAGTAATTTAAAATTTTATTTTAATTGAGATAACAATGATTTATAAAATATAAGTTTCACGCGTTCAAAACCAAAGTCCTTAATAAGTCTTTTCTAACACTCTCTTACTGAGATATCCCACAGTTCACCATGGTGTGCATTCTGCCTTGCTGCAGTAAGTAATAAATCCAAGTTGTTTAACTCTGTGTGCCTCTGGTGGTCTTTAGCTAAAGACCACTGATAACATCAAGAAATACTGTTAATTTGGGTGTGTGTGATAATGGTGTTGTGATAATGCTAAAAACTTCTGTTAAAAGTTTATTTAAGGGCTTCCCTGGTGGCGCAGTGGTTGAGAGTCCGCCTGCCAATGCAGGGGACACGGGTTTGTGCCCCGGTCCGGGAAGATCCCACATGCCGTGGAGCAGCTGGGCCCATGAGCCACGGCCGCTAAGCCTGCGCGTCCGGGGCCTGTGCTCCGCAACGGGAGAGGCCACAACAGTGAGAGGCCTGCGTACCACAAAAAAAAAAAAAAAAGTTTATTTAAAAAAATTTTTAAATTGAAGTATAGTTGATTTACAATGTTGTGTTAGTTTCAGGTGTACAGCAAATTCATTCAACTATATATGTGTGTGTATATATATATATATATATATATACACACACACACACATATATATATTCTTTTTCAGATCCTTTTCCATAATAGGTTATTACAAGATATTGACTATAGTTCCCTGTGCTATACAGTAGGTCCTTAATTTTTATCTATTTTATATATAGTTTTGTGCATCGGTTAATCTCAAACTCCTAATTTATTTAAATTAGGAATTAAAAGTTTATTTTTATTAAATAATTGTCTTGTCAACCCTCAGAATGGGAGAAAACATTTGCAAATGAAGCAACTGACAAAGGATTAATCTCCAAAATTTACAAGCAGCTCATGCAGTTCAATATCAAAAAAACAAACAACCTAATCCAAAAATGGGCAGAAGACCTAAATAGACATTTCTCCAAAGAAGATATACAGGTTACCAACAAACATGAAAGAATGCTCAACATCACTAATCATTAGAGAAATGTAAATCAAAACTACAATGAGGTATCACCTCACACCAGTCAAAATGGCCATCATCAAAAAATCTACAAACAATAAATGCTGGAGAGGGTGTGGAGAAAAGGGAACCCTCTTGCACTGTTGGTGGGAAATGTAAATTGATACAGCCACTATGGAGAACAGTATGGAGGTTCCTTAAAAAACTAAAAATAGAACTACTATATGACCAAGCAATCCCACTACTGGGCATATGCCCTGAGAAAACCATAATTCAAAAAGAGTCATGTACCACAATGTTCACTGAAGCTCTATTTACAATAGCCAGGACACAGAAGCAACCTAAGTGTCCATCGACAGATAAATCGATAAAGAAGATGATGCACATATATACAATGGAATATTACTCAGCCATAAAAAGAAACGAAATTGAGTTATTTG